CAGATCCAAAGCCTGCTCTTGTTCTAGTGGGAAGTCTATGTCTGCCTCTACCTCATTTGTCTGAGTTACTCTTTTCTGATTTTGGACATGTGCTGAGATTTTTTTTTTTTTTTTTCTTGGACACTTTCAGTAGTTAATTGGGTTTTTCATGATTAAATGAATGTATGTTGCTGTGTTTTTAACCTTACTGAGTGTCTTCTGATGGATGTGATCTAGAGATAAGCTTCCCTTTTCACCTGTAATGCCTAGCAGCTGGTATTGGCTTCTGTCTAGATGGTGGCATATCATGGGGTATGCTTGTGGACTGACTATATGGGCACGACTGCTGTCTCTTCTTGGATAAGATAGGGGGAGAAAGCTCCCACTCACAGGAAAAATTGAGACCAAAAGGACCAGAAACACTAACAATTATAAAATCAGAGAAGAAAACCACCACTCAAAAACCAAGAATAAAATCGTAGCTGACTGCCCAGTAGCCTTTGCTGTGCAGGTCAGTGTGTGTGCACTGTTGGAACCTCCAGCGGTGGGTGGGGGTGTCCACTCACTCAGGCCCATACTCTAGTCACCACAGTGGAGGTGCACAAAGAGAGATTGAGAAATTAATGGAAGAAAGATTGTCCACTGTTTTTATCTCTGAAGGCCAGTTCAGTATCTGTATCTGCACAGCATAATTCTCAAAATAGCTGCATCCTTGTATGTAATAGTTGGTGTTGTTTCTTGCCTTTTATATTGAGGCTTTACAAGGTTTACATACATTTTGGCTGTGTGGACAGGCCGCCTTTTTTCTTGCTAAGTAAGTCAGGCATAAAGGTTCCCACCCAGGTCAACTTTAGGGCTGGGTCCCAGAGTCAGACATCATAAGAAGTAGCCAAACGATCAGTCTGTGGGACCACTGGGGCTCCTCTCAGGGGCCTCCCCACTGTGCCATGGGAAAACCATGGGCGCAACACTGGACACTTTTGGGGGTGCACTCCCACCCACCTGAAGGTGTCTGGGCTGGGCAGTGAAGGTGCGTCAGGGGAGAGGAGGATAGTAAAGTATAAAGTCTGTCACATGTCTTTTTCCAGAAGCTCTGCAGTTTTTAGCACTGTGTCACTATACCAGTCTGGCTGTAGCCCCCTCAATACATCTTGATGGCATGTTTGAGCAATTTCAGATTGAAGAAGTTGGTTGCTCTAGCAGTTGGTTCATAAAATTGAGTAATAGTGGTATTATAGGCATATGGATATTTTCCTATCACAGTTTTATACTTCAAGATAGATCTTAAAATGTTCTTTTTGTGATGAAGGTGACACCATTCCTCTTCAATTTGTCATTCCTGGCATAATAAATTGTGTAATTGTCAGGTTCAAAATGACTAGTACCAATCCATGTCAGCTGACTAATGCCTAGGATCTTGATGTTTATGAATTCCATTTCATGTTTTACAATTTTGAATTTTCTTAGGTTCATACTTTGTACATTCCATGTTCCATTTGTTAATGATGTTTGCAGCTGTTTCTCCTCATTTTGAGTTGTGACCCATCAGCAAATGAAGGTGCTAAAAGCTTTAGTCCATTCACATCATCATGATCAGGTCTACTTTGAGGAGGCAGCTCTTCCCCAGTTGAATTCTGAGTGCCTTCTAGCCTGAGGGGCTTCTCTTTTGTTACTACGTTTGACAATATTCTGTTGCTATCCATCATGCTTCAATATTGAATATTCTGGTGCTAACCATGTTTCACACTATTCATAAGGATTTCAGTGGTTACATTTTCAGATGTAGTCTGCATCTCCTTCTTACGAGTCTTGTCGTAGTTTGAAAGCTCAGCTGATACCTGTCCACCATGGGTGATCCTCCTGACATTCAAAATACCCGCAGCATAGCTTCCAGCATCACAGCAACACACAAGCCACCACAGTGTGAGAAACTGACAGAGAAGTGATGTATTTAGACTCATAGAGTTCCACAGACTGTAACTGTTTACAGGAGGAGACAGTCTCATCTTTCTTACATGGAACCTATTGTGGGTTTGAACCACTCAACTCTGGTTAGGCAGCCAGAGACCTATTATTTCAGCTTTTTCATTGTATGTGTAATTATCCTTATGGAAATAAATTATAGTAGGACTTACATGTCTGTTTAGTGGCAAAAAATTTGTTCTTCTCTTTGGATCTTCTTGTGTGTATCTGAATTAAGTATTCAGCTTCAGAAACACCAAAATTAGACTTGTGAAGAGTTTGTTTTTTCTTTTTCATTAACAGAAGAAAAATATATGTCATAATAAAGAATACATAAGTCTTTATTCTTACTCATAGGATTGCTTTGAGTCATAATTGACTCTACTGCAGTGGATTTAAAACAATATGTATCTTTATTAGTATGTGCTGTTTTTACATCAGTGTTATAGAAATATTAAGCAGAGAGTACAAAGAGTTCCCATGTATCCACCTCCCCCCCACCTGCACACCCACTTTCCACTATTATTAAAATCTTGCATTAGTGTGCAGTAAATATATATGTTGCAACTGAAGAATGCATATTGATGTATTAAAATTTGCTAAAGTACGTAGTTTATATAAAGGCTTTTTTTTTCTTTGTCTTACAGAGTTCCATGAATTTTAAGAAATGCATGATACCTTGTGTTTACAATTCCATTATCATGAAGGAGACCTTCACTACCCTAAATATCCCAATGTTTTCTACTTAATTCTTCCCTCTTTCCCTCCTTCCTTTTCCATGAAACCCTGGCAGCCACTAATGTTTTTACTTTCTCTCTGTTTTTCCTTTTCAAAATGTCACGTAGTTCCAGTATATAGTGTTTTCAGACTGACTTCTTTCACATAGCAATTATATTTAAGTTTGCTCCATAACTTTTAGAGTCCTGGTTTGACCCTGTAGGATAAGCACTGGACTGCTAGCCCCAAGGTTGGCGGTTCAAACCCATCAGCTGTTCCTTGGAAACCCTATACACAGGGTCACTATAAGTTGAAACTGATTCAGTGGCACTTAACAATAACAACATATCTTTTCACGCGTTAATAGCTTTAAAAAAAAATTCTGAATACTATTTCATTGTATGGATGTTACACAGTTTTTTCATCTATAGGAGATCTTTGTTGCTTCCAGTTTTTGACAACCTTAGATCTTTATTGAAATTCAGTTCTGTATAGTTTGATTATATAAAACATTTAGTTTTTGTCCTAGTTCATTCTGTTCCCAGAAGTAAAGTTTCTTAGACTGCCTTTTGTTCCATTTAACACTGTCTTAATCTATCAGCCTCTCAAATAAATTGCATGAGAGTTCTAGGAATGTAATATTTGCTCTTTGCCTTGTGTATACAACTTTTAAAACTATTCTAACTTCCATTCTGATATCAAATATTCATGAAATACCATTTTCATTATTTTTCTGTACATAGGTCTACTATGTGACTTCATTGCCTGTTTTCAAAATTCTCTGACCAGCACTTAATTCTCCATGTTCCCTCTGGGCATTACTCATCAGTGACCTATTAGTGTACTTTATGTCTTTCTCTATCTAAATTCTGTCTCTCACTAGAGTCATGCTGAAATCTTGCATCCTTAATGGAGCTATTCTCAGTTACCTGGTCCATATTAATCATCGGTTTTTCTGATTTCTTGTACTTTTAATCAGTGCCCTGATTAGTCACGTTTGATAAATGCTCTCAAAATAATGATTGTTGGATGTGATTATGATGATTAAAATTTGAATTAACTTTCTAAAGTAAATAAAATTAGTTTCATGTCTATTATATAATTTCATCCTCATATCTAATTCAGTGAAATAATTTGTATTGCCTTTATTTTACAGAGAAAATATTGAGATCCAGAGAAATGAGTAATTTTTCCAAAGTTATCCTGATTTTTAAATTTCTGCTATTCCAAAAAGATGATGCTTAAGTTTAGTAAATGTATTTACTCTATTAATTTTTCTTCTTCTTAACTGTGATGTTTTGACGTTTTTTGTCGTTTAATTTGAGGGAGCTGTGCAGGAAGAGTGTTGTTTCTGTCTCAGTGACCTTGGATCACTGTTTGCTCCCAGACCCCTTTTCCTTCCCTTTTCTTTCTTTAACTTCCTATGTTTAACAGTATGTCTTCTTCTTATGACAGCAACTGTAGCTGTCAAATTATTTTCATTCATAGTCTCTTTTGAAGTGCTACTGAACATAACCTTTTCATGCCCCCTACAAGAATATTTCTTAAATGCAATCAAAGTTTTTGTTAATATAAGAAACTCAAGTTGCTCACATGTACTTAATTACATTTTTTCTTGTATTCTATTTGAAGCATTGACTTACTTTTGTCTGTTGACTTACTCTTTATCCTGTTTTATAGGAATCATTGTAGTTCATTTGAGGTTCTCTGATATTCTTTGCCTGTCTTCCTGTTGCTAACAACACTTTTCAATTTGCTATCATGTGTAAATTTTGCCTGTATAGTTGAATATCTTAAGTCACTAGTAAAAACTAGAATTAAATAATGTGTATTCCAATAGTTATATTTATGAGCTATTGAAAATTTTTAAATGGCTTTTTTGTTTTTATCTCCATAATTATAATTTGATATGTATAATAAATTGGAGGAAAAGGAAAAACTTTAATCTTCTTTTTATGCATATGTTAAATTGCTTAGGTTGAGTTTAAGGCTCTCATAACAGTCTGTTGTTGTTGTCTAGTGCCGTCAAATCGATTCCATAGCGACCCTGTATAGAGTTTCCAAGGAGCAGCTGGTGAGCTTGAACCGCCAACCTTGCAGTTCAAATGGCTTTGCAGTCTGGCGCATTAACCCACAGTGCCACACCAGGACTCCTCATAACAGTTTTAGATGCTATTAATTAGTGACAACCAATTTTTATGTCTTAGGTAGAACAAAGATGTCAGTGTGCTGTAGAACTCATGTGAGGCAGGTTGTTACTTATATCCCTTTCGTTTTACCTAATTCTGTTTTTTTTAGGGTATCATACAGACATTTCATGAAGTGAATATTTTTGCTTGTAGGCAATGAAGTCTCCAGAGTTAAAAGACCGACTGGAAGAATCTGAGAAGCTAATCCAGGAAATGACTGTGACCTGGGAGGAGAAATTAAGGAAAACTGAGGAGATTGCACAGGTTTGTGTTTCCTGATTTAAGAGATATAACACTTGTGGTAGTTTGTACAATGGAACTCAGATGACGTTTCTGGTTCCTTTTTAAATCTTAGTTTGGCAGATGGTAAATCTAGCACTGTTAATAGTACTCTGGATCCAAGAGGAAGTCCTTGGGTGGTGCAAACAGTAGTCAGTTTGAACCCACTCAGAAGCACCATGAAAAACAGACCTGCCAGTCTTCTTGAAAACCCTATGGAACAGTTCTACTCTGCACAAATGGAGTCACCATGAGTCAGAAATCTACTTGATGGCAACTAACAACGTCAACAACAGAGCTAAGAGTCACTTGTGTACAAAATTAACTTGAAAACTAAGGAAGCCATGAATAAACTAATAATTGATGCTTCATTATGTAAGAAATAATTTTTTTAGTGCCAGAGTAATTTTTAAAACATTTTTAAAATGAAACAACCATTTTGTCCCTCTGGCTCAGAACAACTAGTTCTATTAAGTGCTCTACAAGAATTTACTCAAACTACAAAATTATTAGTAGTATATAGTAGGATGTGTGTTTTGACAACTCAGCAAGAATAATGTAAGATAAATCTACAGTGACTGTTTCTCATTACTAGAAAACTTGCTATAGATGTAATCTAAGAGTCAGAAATGTTAACATTGGGAGAAAATCCTTAGAAGTCTAACTGTCTCCTTACTAAAATACTATTAGATAAGTTATTTATCTTCTGTGTTAGAAATGTATATGGTAATGAGGAGCTCAGTACTGCATCTAGCAGTTTTTTCATTGTTGGATAACATTAAAGTAGCTTTTTAATATAAATATTTTATTGTTTCTCTATATTCTTTGGCTCTAATTCATTCCTCTAAAGCTAAGAGAATAAGAAGTATCCTATTTTCATACTTGCATATACTTATGTGTTGAACTCTATGCTAAGCACTTGTTCTGTGTATTGGTTCTGTGTTTTGCTTTATTGAAGATTATTTTGGGTTTTGGATTTAATATTACATGTGTGTCAGTACGTTGATTAACTGTGAAATTCATTCCCCTTACTGTGTCCCATTAGGTGCAGAATGAACTTGACCTCTGTTTTCTAATTTTATATCATAACATAAGATAGTATTTTTTTCAATCCTTTCAAAAGCCCTGTGAGAAAGAGGACAATTTTTACCTAATTCACTTCTTCAGTTTTTTAAATTACCTCTCTGCCTCTTCGTTTTTTAAAATTAAAAGTCCCTGGTGTTTACAGCTATTTCTTATAACAGAGAATATGTAGCACTTACTACAGATAGTCCTTGATTTATGAGGGGGTTCTGCTCCTACAACTGTCTTATGTTGGTTTGATGTAGGTCGAATAATATTGAACATCTGTGAGTGAACATCTAGAAGGATAACATCATTGAATTATGCTAAAGCACAGTGTATGTTATGGATTACTAATGATAAGATGTACAAAAAACCTCAAACAGACTGTCATGACTGTGGTTTGTCTTACCTTGAGCACATCATAAGTTGAGGACTGCCTGTACTGATTTCATCACTCAGTAGAGTCCATCTTTAAATGTCTTGTTGGGAATCAAACTTGAGATGTTGTTGGAGAATTTTATTTTTACTAAGCATAATCTGGGTATTATATTTGTAGCAATACACAATAGGATTTTATTTGAGTTTTTTTTTTTTATCAACAATTTTCAAATGCAAATAAAGGTAACAGAAGAGTATAATAAAACCACATGCACCTATCACCCAATTTTATTACATATTAGCATATGGACAATCTCATTTTTTAATATCCCTAAATTGGGTTATTTTAAAGCAAATTCTATACTAATTTATACCTACATTTTTCATTTATTATTATTCATGGACATTTTCCCATATTATTTGTAAAGATATGTTACTTCTCATTATGAGAATGATTCCTGCTTCTCAGAAGGAACCACAGAAGATAAGTTAGACTGGCTTTCTTCATTTTTATCAGCATGGTTTCTGTATCAAAGACAGTAATTTCTTGAAATTGAGTGTTGAAAATGCCTAATATCTCTTGCTAAGATGCTCAAAATTTCTGAAAGAATCCTTTAATTCTTTTTGTTAGAAGAGACACTTGATTCAAAGTCCCAGGATCATAATATCCCTTTGTTCCTTTTGATTATAGTATCTTTGAATGTAACATATATTGACTGAGTTGTAGTACCCGTATAAATTAGGATGGTATGCCTAGAAACACCAGAATTCTGAGGGTTTATTTTAATTATACTGCAAACTGACTCAGTAGCCCTAGCTAAATTACTTCATAATCTGTTGTCTGTCCCCAGAATCAAAAGGCCTTTGTGCCCGTGACTCATCACTACTTGCTGTTTATAAATATTCAGACTCCTGACATTGCCCTGATTCACATTAATCATAGAGTATTAGGGTGTAGGATTTATATATTCATTCCTATATTATATGGGTCAGAGGCAGGTAGGCATCAAGGATTGCATGCTTATGAAAAGAATTCTTTTGTTTTAAAGTTTTTATTGTGAATTATGTGGTAGTTTACATGGGAGAACATTAGCTTTACATTCATCCTATCTTACTTCGTTTCATTGCAATGATTACAATTCCCTGCATGCCTCATCAAACAAAGGGTACACCCCACAGGCCCACCCCCTGGCCATCAACACACAAATACTCTCCCTCCCAGAGTCCAGAGTCCCCACTCGTTCCATCTCTCCATGTCATTGTCTCTGCCTCCATCACTGGTGGTGCTGCCTCTCTGGATAGGATCCCACACTCTGCTCTTCTACCTTGATGGTCCAAGGGACCTCTGCTCCTTGACTGCAAAATCAACCACTCCCCTCCTTATGTTACAAAAACATCTACTTTTACCTTTTCAACACTCACAGTCAGACCGGATAGCAATCATTCACCACAAGAGTCTTATCACCCATATCCTTTCATCAGCCCAGTCCAGACAGGGTGGAAACCACTCAGTGGAGATTCTACCTTCCCCCGCACCCTCTGGAACTAGGCTCCCTCTTGAAAGCTTGTAAGCCAGTCACCCCCATTTTGGGTAGCAGATGTCTAAGTTGTCTATCCATGTTGACCCTGTGTACTGAGGGGGTGGAAATGATCCTCGCTGTAAAGATTTGTTCCCTCCTTTGAGATACTACATCCACAAGCATAGGGCAAGTTCGTCAAATTGTAGCAGATTACTCTTTTTTTTCCCCTCTTCTTTCTTCCTCTAGTTGAGTTCTGATCATCCAGTCTTTGAAGCCAGGTCAAATGGCTACTATCTGCAAGTGTGGGTGTTCTTGTGCGTCTCTCTTCTCTTCATATCAGCCAGATGTTTCACTCTCTGCTTTAGTCCTCTGTGGCCATGTCCCTGTCCTTGGGCCCAGGAATCCCCAGGTCTTGCCATACTGCTGGTCAACCAGGTCTCAACCCAGGTTGACAGGAGTCTGTTGAACGTGGTCGGACTTAGCTCACAAGTTCATAGCTGTATTTCCCCCCACTTCCCCTTATCGGTGACCAGCGTGGTCAGCAGCAAGACCACATGCCTGCTCATGTATTCCCCTTGAGTCTTAGTCTTGGAAGGGGGTTTACCCTGAGGGGACCTGACCATTTGCCTTGATGACTCCCCCACGAATGACTTGCTTTTTCTTGTAGAAGTCAATCAGACTGTCATTACTGTTTCTGATGTTTCCTGCTGGTCTTTCTTACACAAAGTATCTTCTGTTCTTCTAGCTGTTCCAGGCTGGTCTGCTTGTCCTTTCAGTGGAAATTTCTCACCTAAAAAGATTCAGGATGAGGATCAGGATTCCACCCTATGGCCTTACGCAGTGCAAAGGCTCCACAGGAAGCCTTCTTTCCTGGGCAAGTTCTAGCCCCATTTTAGGTATCCCAATTAGTTATAGGCTGAAGACGGACTTACAAGCTTCTATGGTGATGTTTCTAGCTATTCCTTTCTCTCCATCTCAGTTGTCTATTTTACAATGGTAGGTAAGGGACAGCCAAGCATCTTAACATTATTTCCCTTCTTTCACCCATTCAAACCATGCCTCAATCACTGTATCCCAGAGCCCTATTGTTCCAAGGTTGTGCATACATCATTATTTACCTCTGTCCCACTAAGTCCATGCAAACCTCCCTAACTGTTCTTTCATTCTCCTACCCCTTCTTGTGTATTGACTCCCTTCCCCCCCAGCGCCCAAACTATCCTATGACTATTCCCTACCCTGTACTCCACCTTCCCCTCCTTCCCCAACTCCTTACATCCCAGTAACCAGCAAATAATTTTTCCCCCTCCTTTTACTGTGGGTAGTGGTTATGAATCGGGTAGCAAATCCGATCAACAGTTCAAAATTACCAGCTCTTCCATAGGAGAAAGATGAGGCTTTCTGCTCCCCTAAAGATTTATAGCCTCGGAAACCCTATAGAGGGTCTCTATGAGTCGGAACTGACTCCATGGCACATGACAACAACTTTTTCTTAGTGTTTTACAATAATGGGCCTATGTAGTAATATTTCTCCTTTATAACTGACTAATTTCACGCAGCATAATGTCCTCAAGGTTCATCCATGTTATGTGGTAGCTTGCAGCTTCCTTGTTATTCTTCAAGGTAGCATAATATTCCATTGTGTGTATATACCAAAGTTTGTTTATCCATTCTTCCATTAATGGGCACTTAGACTGTCTCCATCCTTTTGCTATTGCGAATAGTGCTGCTATGAACATTGGTGTGCATATATCTACTTGTATTATGGCTTGTATTTCTTGTGGATAAATACCAAGTAGAAGAATTGCTGGATCATAAGGTATCTCTATTTCCACCCTTCTGAGGAAGCGCCATATTGTTTTCCAGAGTGGTTGGACCATTTTGCAATCCCACCAGCAATGTAGGAGGGTCCCAGTCTCTCCGCATCCTCGCCAGCATTTATTATCCTCTACTTTTTTGATCTTTGCTGTTATGAAAAGAATTGTTGAATACATTTGCAAGTTTTCATTTTGTAAATTCACATTACCTAATTCTTTGAGTGCTCACTCCATGGCATGTGCTATGGTATGTGCTAGGAATTTAACATAACATACATTCCATATCTTCAAAGAGCTTATAGTCTGGTGTGGGGAAATGGTTTAAGAAACAGATGACTACACCAAGCATGATAACATGTATGCTCCACATAGAAGGAATAGATGTAAAATTCCTCAAGCTAAGGAAAACATTCTTAACAACTTAAGTGGCTAAGAGGATTCTCTATATAACTGCAGCACAGAGTTTGAAAGTAGAAGTAGCAAGAAATGAAGATGGAGCTCTTCCTGTAAGTGGCGTGAAGTAATCTTATAAAATGGTTCTCTACTCACATGACCCAGAAACCCCCACAAAATCATGCAAATCAAGAGGTTCATATCTTTGTGTCCATTTTAAGAACACCCATGAAACTGCCCAGGCCATCAAGGGTATGTATATCTGACAAGTCATCAAGTACCAGAAAGATGTCACTTTGCAGGAGTAATGTGTACCATTCCGATGTTACAATAGTGACATTAGTAGGTGTGCCTAGGCCAAGCAGTGGGGTTAGACACAGTGGCCCAAAAAGAGTACTGAATTTTTGCTGCACATGCTTAAAAATGAAAAGAGCAATGCTGAACTTAAGGGTTTAGATGTGGATTCTCTGGTCATTGAGCACGTTCAGGTCAACAAAACCCCCAAAATGAGCTGCTGAACTTACAGAGCTCGTGGTTGGATCAACCCCTACATAAGCACCCCCTACCATGTTGAGATGATCCTCACTGAAAAAGGAACAAGTTGTTCCTAAACTAGAAGAGGAGGTTGCACAGAAGAAAAAGATTTCCCAGAAGAAACTGAGGAAACAAAAACTTTTATGGCTCAGGAGTAAATTAAGCTAAAAGTAAAAGAAAAAGAAATGAATATGAAGAGGAGAACAAATGGGTCAGATCTAAGTATTTTGTCAATTTCGTTAAAGAAACTTTGGAAAGTCACTGAAGATACTTAGCAAGAGAATATCTTAATAACTTTGCTTTTCAGAAAGATCACAGTTGAGTAACATGTATCCTCATTTACCTGTATATCCTGAATTGAATGAGAAAGATAAATTTAAGTTGATAAATATTTTTAAAATGAAATTTGAGAACTCAATAGTATACTTAATGACTATGTGTACTGTGCTTTATTTTTTAAAATAAAAGTTATACTAGAGAATTAATTTGGAAAAAAAGAAAAATACAGTTATCTGCAATTCCATAACACTAAGATAACATAGAATAATTTAATCATTGTTTTAATGTTGTAAGATCTTTTCTACCTGAGCATCTCAATTGATGCAGCATTAATACTTCTCTAATACTTACAGGAGCGACAGAAACAGCTTGAGAGCCTGGGGATATCTCTTCAGTCTTCAGGAATCAAAGTTGGGGATGATAAATGTTTCCTTGTTAATTTGAATGCTGATCCTGCCCTCAATGAACTCCTGGTTTACTATTTAAAGGTGAAGTAATATGCTTTGTTACTAGTTGCCTTCCATGAAACAGGAAAATATTATGCAGTATTGTTTTAAACCTGCTTATTCACAAAACAGAGATAGCACATTGTTTTCATTGAATAAACTGGTACGTAGAAAATCTTGGGTTTCTGGGATAGAATGTCTTCTTTTTTTTTAGTCTATAAGTGATGTCTTTAAGCCTAATGATATAAAAATTGACAATGTGGTATTTTCAAAAGTTAATTAGCATAGGCTGATTTGAACCCCAGGGTCAGTGGTTCAAACTCACCAGTTACTCCTTGGAAACCCTATATGGGATTGTTATGAATTGAAACCTGACTTAACAGTACTTAACGTATAAGGGAAATTGGAAACTTCAAGATTTAATGAATGGCTTTTAAAAACTAAATGATTTTTTTAGTCAGTAGACTAAAGTTTTTGTGGCTTATAGGAAGCATCTTTTATTTTAAGCAATAATTTGTTTTTGAAAATGTGCATAGCAAATTGTATGTCAATTCAACAATTTCTATATGTTAAATTCAGTGACACCACATTTTGTAAGCTGTGCAACCATTCTCACCCTCCTTTTACAATTTTTTTTCTCTACCATTAATATGAACTCACTGCTTAGTTTATGAAGCATATGTTTTTGTGAGGGGTTTGCTAGCCCAAATGAAAAGATGTTAAAGAAAGTAAAGTTCTTGGAAACACTTGATAGGAATTTTTTATTTCCGGTGACTTTAGGTAAAAAAACAAAACAAAACATATAAGGATTATTGTTGTTGTCAAATGCCTTCACAATTCTGACTCATTGTGACCCCTGTACACGGTTTCCGAGCAACAGCTGGTGAGTGTGAACTGCTGACCGTGTGGTTCCTGGTCCAGTGCTGATCCTACAGCACCACATTATCAACCTGTAAATAGGGGAGTTTGGATCACTTAGAGACTGAGAGGATCTGAATACGGAATTGTTTTTAAAAATATGTAAACCACTGGAATACAAGAGACCACATTAGAATGTGCGTGAATTCTGTGTCCTTACATAAAGTATGAGGAGTGCTCCAATTTGACAAACCTCTAGAATATAAATTAATTATATAATGGACTACAATGGCTCTAAAATTGGCTTAATAAATATTAGGAGTTTTTTGTTTTTTGTTTTGTTTGTTTATTCATAGTAAGAGGAACTATATATGCCACATTAAGTGTGGGGATATCCAAAGCTGTAAATCTTTGCAGGAGGGGTTTCCGAAGCTGTAAATCTTTGCAGGAGCAGAAAGCCTCATCTTTCTCCCTTGGAGTGGCTAGTGGGCATGAACCACCAGCTTTGTGGTTCACAGTCCAGTGCTTACCTTATGAAGACATTGTGCTCCCCAACTGAGAGAACAAAGGACAGTAAAAATAATAAGCTGGTTAAACTGGAACCAGCTTTAAGATTAGAAAATTGTGTTTCATTTCTAAAAAAGAATGAAGAATTCATAGCATATTAGTTAGTCTCCCAAATACAAAGATACCCTGTTGTAGTTGCTCTGTGTGCATTTATTTTTAAAATATAAGCCCCTTTATTAATAATTATCTTATATTACCCTTCACTTTATTATGGGTTAAATCATGTCTGTGATACATACCGTGATGTGTGTATATTTCAGGTAGTGTGGCAGAATGACAATAACACTCTTCCACAATACCTGAATTGGAAGGGAGATGACCTGTGTTCTTAGACCAGTACCACTACTTGACAGATGTTTGATCTTGGTGAAGTCCTTTTCTCTTTCTAATCTACAGATCCTTCTGCTATAATTGGAAAGTATCTCTGTCTGTGTATCCTTTAGGGCTCCTGTGAGGATTCAATGAAATTGGTTATAGATACTTTATGAACAGAAACACTTTATCAGTATAAAAATTTTCATATGCCTCTCTCTTATTTGATACTCAATGTGGTAACATATATAATCTCTTTCTATTAAAAATGATATATAACTTGCTGTTTGTGAAAATAATGGGGAGTATTTTATATTATAATATCAGCTGTAGATATTCATGTTTTAGGAGAGGTGCAGTTTTAGAATATGATTCAATATTTTGCCCTTTTCATTTCTCAGAAGTATGATTTTTTTTTTTTCCTCTTGATGTCATGTAGTTCAAATCTGAATGCAAACACACACAGAAACAAGAAAAACTGTGATTCATATCTGTTCCTTAACATAAAAATTAAACAAAGAAACTGTTTAAATACTTTTGGAGGGTAATCAAAATATTTCTGGTCCCTTTGTGTGGATGTGTTTGGATTTTGTTCCAGACTGTGTGGTCAACCCTATTTTGGCAGTGTTTGAGGCAGAGTTAATTTCTTGACTGCCTAAGCTAACCCATGACAAGAGTATATTCATGACAAAGCACATTCAAAAGGATGATCTCAGTCCAAGAACAGATTTTGCTTCAGTAAAATGATACCATGATGTGGGATGGAGGAATTTGGAGGCACAGCGTTTTTTATTTCTTTGCCTTCAAATTCTCAAGTCAATTTAGAAGCTAGGCAGATAGAGTAACATGTCTAGATGTCCTTATAAAATCGGGGCACTGGATTAAAGTATTTTGGAAGTTTTTACTAGCTCCAGATTATATGTTTCTATTATTCATCTTGAGGAAAAGATTAGGCTTTCTACTCCTACAAAGATTTACAGCCTCAGAAACCCTTTGCAGGGTCTCTATGAGTCAGAACCAACTCAGTGAAACTTAACAACAACATGACTTGTCTAGAAAGCAATCTTCCATTTGCTTATTCTGTCTAGAACTGGGAGCGGCAAGGTAGGATGGCCAAACATTTGAAATATAAGTCATAAAATAACTTTGTATCATATTTATACATAAAGACAGTTCTTTACAGATTTCAGTTGTTGTTGTTAAGTGCCATCGAGTCGGGTCCGACCCATAGTGACCCTGTACAGGGTTTCCGAGGGTGTAAATCTTTACGGGAGTAGAAAGCCTCATCTTTCTCCCGCGGAGCGGCTGGTAGTTTCGAATCGCTGACCTTAAGGTTCGCAGCCCGATTCGTAACCACTACGCTACAGATTTCAGTTAGTAGGTCATATTGTCATTAAATTGCCATCAAGTCAGTTCTAACTCATAGCGACCTTGTATAGTATAGGGTTTCCAAGGAGGGGCTAGTGGTCTTGTGGTTCAAAGTCCAGTGCTGATCTGGTAGTGCTATACCAGGAGTCCAGTAGGGCATATTGTTGTTGTTATATGCCTTGGAATCGGTTCTGACTCATAGTGACCCTGTACAGGGTTTCCGAGGCTGTAAATCTTTACGGGAGCAGAAAGCCTCATCTTTGTCCCATGGAACAGCTGGTAGTTTCGAACTGCTGACCGTGAGATTAGCAACCTGATTTGTAACCACTACGCTACAGAGCATAAAGTACCAACTTTGTTGCTAGACCTTCATTCCACTTAAGTTTGCAGCATAAGTAACAGACGTTCATTATGACTGCTGACCAATCACACCATTTCTTTCAAAACCTGTCAATGATATACCTATTATTAAATGATTTACTGTAGATAAATTACAGTAAATATGAGAAAGCTGGAGCCTGTGTAAGTTGGAAGCTTTTCACAGAGAGAAAATTTTAAGTATTTTCCACTAAAAGAAGTGATAGAAAAAGTGGTTAAGATTGCGCCCTGTCAAGAGTGGAAAACTTGTGAGACCTGGAAAAACAAGGCAGTCCCATCAAGTTCCAAGTTCCAGCTCTGTAAAAAGTTAGTGATTTATGATAGGATGAATCTAAAGCTAATGTTCTCCCATGTAAACTATCACATAATTCGCAATAAAACATTTAAGAAAAAAAATGTTTTTACTGTAAATTATTATAGTGTCTCCTAGTGAAACCTGTGTGACATTGTATAGATAACAGAAAGAATGATTTGGCCAACAAAAATGAAAATTTAGTAAAGCAACAAAAAGTGATAATACTGAAAGTGAAATTTGAATAGAGTACATATGGAATTAGGATGAACAGGCTGGCCATTGATGAGATTCCTGGATATGTAGCTCGAGGAACTTAGTGAAGATGAGCTTATCACCATAAATAAGGAGAGTGATTGTGATGATAAGGATGAAGATATTTAACGCAAGCATCTGATGGAAAACACTTTAAGTGACTCTCAGAGATACTTTACAACATTGAAAGTAGGAAGGAAAAAATGGTAGAATTTTAGAAAGCATGACAGTTCAGCAAAGTATATTGTTAAACATTAATAAGAAGAAAAGCAGTTAAATTACTTTTGATAGTTTTTCTTTTTTAAACAAATAAAACAAAACCCAAACACTTCAAATCTCTGTATATCTTGTGTTCTAAATTACAGTATACCCAATAACTATTAGTTTTACTATTGTCTTCATTTCTCTGTAAATGTATAACATTATAAGAATTCTTAATGTTTTGACAGACATTTTTAGAATTCACAGAGTAATTAGACTTTCCCCCATTGAGTATTATGATAGCTTTGCCTGGTTTCAGCTTGCCCAGTCATTTTTATAGTCCCATTCTCTCTTACAAAGTAACGACTGCCTTTAGTTCTGAGGCAGTTGTGGAAATTTATACTAGCAAGAGCTAAGTTAGCTATGTTTTAAGTTGACTTAAAAACATTAAGATAATAATAATGTACTTTTGTTAAAAAATTTTTTTTTCCTGTAAAATATAGATAAGAAAAAGAATGAGGTATTTGCCCATCATTCCAATACTTAGAGATGACCACCATTAATATTTTTAATCTATATCCTCTGGATCTATTTATATATGTTTGTGTGTGTATAGATTTATATCTTTGTTGTTGTTGAGTGCTGTCAAGTCGGTTCCGACCTATAGCGACCCTGAAGAGGGTTTCTGAGGCTGTAAATCTTTACGGGGGTAGAAAGAGTCATCTTTCTCCCGTGGAGCAGCTGGTAGTTTCAAACTGCTGACCTTCTGGTTCGCAGCCCGATTCGTAACCACTATGCTACCAGAGCTCCT